TCTATGAAAATACTGTCTGAGTAGGTTTGAGATAGTATTTGGTGAGGACGACGATATTGAATAGTGTTAATGTATACATGTATACTGTTTATGTGAAAATACTGTCTGAGAGGGTTTGCTGTATTTGTTTTGGTGATGGGTGGAGGGGCAATATTGCTTGCACTTAATGTATATACCATCTACATGAGCATGTGTCTGCATACTGTCTGACCATCTTTGGGTCATTCTTTTTTGTGGAAGCTGAGGGTGGAAATATTGATTACTGCTAATGTATATACTCTATGAAAATACTGTCTAAGCAGGTTTGAGATAGCATTCGGTGGAGGCAATATTGAATATTGTCAATGTATATAATGTCCAAAGTAGACATAATGATAGCAATAATTTAAGATCATACGGTTCATCTAGAGGCCTGTTTTTTTTGTAACTTTTGAAATGATATGACACTCACCCATGGGTGAGCCGAATCCGGAGTGGAAGGGCTTGTTATCGAGATCGAGATGACCACTGGCCTTGATCATATCGCCCATAACACCGCCGAGTCCCAAACATCCTCCGGCCTTCTTCTTCTTGCTCTTCGACGACAGCTTCCTGTTCCTCGTCTGGATGCCCTCCTTCTTCATCGTGAGCGGCCGGTTCACCTGCAAGAGTCGTAGCCAACAATTCGTTGAGTTGAACAGTACATCTAACGCGCCAAGGGAAAACGCTTCGGTAACTTTCTTAACAAAATGAAACGTGTAGGTGGAAGCAGAGACCATGAACCATAAATCACGTTTAAATAGGTTAAGATCCCGGCTGGTAAACAGAGTATCGAAATTAACAAACTGGCTGAACTCCGGCCGTGGGATGTAGCGTTAATTGCCACTTAGAGTCTAATTGCCGGGTTTATATCGCGAACCAGTTGCTAATTTCTATGTAAATAGACCCCTATGGAGCTATGGATTTTTCAAAAGGGTAGCTCGCCTCCCACGAGCATGAAGCACATGTAACTTGGCTTCCAGACGGCGGGCAATTAACGAATCCCTCAGATTCCTGGTAGTATACGAAAGGCCGGTGCAATTAACGAATCGACAGGGCAATTTTCGAGCGGCTACGTCACCGCCGCAATTCCCACAATCAGCGAGCTTCGTTTGCTCTCGAGAAACGTTACGTACGAATCCCAATTCGTCCCACGGCTAGCTTTGATCTAATTTAGGATCGTTGCGAATTCAATCCCCGCTAAAAACAGTGGGGACTGAGTTTTGTGACAGGGTGAGCACACAAGGTCACAAGGTGCTCAGTCTAGGTAAGCGGACATGTTGGATAAACCTTAATCAAAGCCTCAAATCCCAATATTGTAAGACATATTGAATAAATCTTGCTCAAAGTCTTATTACAACAAAGAACATGTCAAAGGGCCCTAGCTCAAAGCTTTAAATATAGCTCAAAGCCTTAAATATAGCTCAAATTCTCATATCTAGCTAATGGTCTCAAATATAAATCGAAGACTCAAATCAGGCTCAAAGTATCAAATATAAATCGAAGCCTCAAATCGAGCTCAAAATCTCAAATTAAGTATATTGCAAGACTCAAATTCGCGTATCTAGGTCATGGCCTCGAATATAAATGAAAGCCTCAAATCGGGCTCGGTGTCTCAATTCTAGCTCAAAGTCTCAAACATATCTCAAACTCAAAAATCCGTATACTTCAAGACATATTGAACAAATCTTACCCAAACCCTCAAATCCCAATATTGTAGGACATTTCAAACAGATTTTGCTCAAAGTCTGACAGCAACAAATAAGAAAACTTCAAATATAGCTCAAAGTCTCAAATTAAATATATCGCAAGACATTTTAAATTGATCAATCTCAAAGTCTTAAACACAGCTCAAATTCTTATATCTTGCTTATGGTCTCAAATATAAATCGAAGTCTCAAATCTAGCTCAAAATCTCAAATTAAGTATATTGCAAGACTCAAATTCGCGTATCTAGGTCATGGCCTCGAATATAAATGAAAGCCTCAAATCGGGCTCGGTGTCTCGATCCTAGCTCAAAGTCTCAAATATATCTCAAACTCAAAAATCCGTATACTTCAAGACATATCGAACAAATCTTACCCAAACTCTCAAATCCCAATATTGTAGGACATTTTAAACAGATTTTGCTCAAAGTCTCACAGCAACAAATAAGAAAACTTCAAATATAGCTCAAAGTCTCAAATTAAATATATCGCAAGACATTTTAAATTGATCAATCTCAAAGTCTTGAACACAGCTCAAATTCTTATATCTTGCTCATGGTCTCAAATATAAATCGAAGCCTCAGATCTAGCTCAAAACCTCAAATTAAGTATATTGCAAGACTCAAATTCGCGTATCTAGGTCATGGCTTCGAATATAAATGAAAGCCTCAAATCGGGCTCGGTGTCTCAATCCTAGCTCAAAGTCTCAAACATATCTCAAACTCAAAAATCCGTATACTTCAAGACATATCGAACAAATCTTACCCAAACTCTCAAATCCCAATATTGTAGGACATTTCAAAGAGGTTTTGCTCAAAGTCTCACAGCAACAAATAAGAAAACTTCAAATATAGCTCAAAGTCTCACAGCAACAAATAAGAAAACTTCAAATATATCTCAAAGTCTCAAATTAAATATATCGCAAGACATATTAAATTGATCAATCTCAAAGTCTTGAACACAGCTCAAATTCTTGTATCTTGCTCATGGTCTCAAATATAAATCGAAGCCTCGAATCAGGCTCAAAGTCTCGAATATGAGTAAAACTCACGACTCGCGACAAGTCTCACTATAACAAAGAGAACACGTAGATGGGCTCAAACTCAAAGCCTCAAATCCCTACATTGTAACACGCATGAAAAAAAAATCAGATCCCTCCAACAAAGGCCATAACAGTTACCTCTAGCTCGAATCCTCGAAACCTCATGAGCCACTTCGAACAACCATATCGAGCACACCAATCCGAGTGCTTCCAGCTCCGATTAATCGCTTATCCTATCGTTATCAGAATTTCTTCAACCGTTAGTCCGCGCCAAGGGAGTCGGACGGGGTCGCATGATTCGGCAAACTCGGCCAATTGCGTAATTCCGAAAAGTGTCGTTGACCGTCTGGACGTTGTACTTCGGTGGACAGCGGCGAGGAAGAGTACGCGAAAGAAAGGAACAGCGCCACGGGGGATGAAGGGAGGAGGACGAGGGAGGATGATGCCTCCGCCGCCACCTCCAGCTCGTTCGCGTATCCCGCAATACCAGGAACCTTTTCCTTAAGTTGGCAGTTGCGTCACGTCGCGGCAACTACAAAGCGCGCCTCCACCTCCTTGCATTTCCCTTCCAACACTCCCTCGCCCTCCCCCGCCCGGTCCCCTCCCTACGGTGCAGCACACCACACTTGCATACCTAGTTATTTCGTACTTAAGTATTGCACGCGGCGAGCGCGCATCCGTGCACACGTATACATCACCCGCATAATTGGTCCTGGACGGAGCTCGCTAAAAAAGTCTTGCTTCGACAACGAACCATACGGTCGCACGTCAAACGGACAGGGAAAAGATGCGTCTATGGAGAAAACGTGTTTAGATGGCGGGACGATAGGTAGGAATGGGACTAGGGGACCGTTGGACTTTATGTGCAAGGTCTTTGATGTTGGGATGATTATCGGAACTGCGTTTGGGGGAGGGGGTGGGGGGGGATTGACCTGATCCAGGTGTTTGTAAGATGACTTGATTCGGATAGTAATGGCAGGGACTTGATGTAGGTATGGCTTGACTTGATATGGATTCAACTTGTCTTGATTTTAGTGTCAGTAGCTTGACTTGATCTGGGTTCAACTAGACTTGATTTTAGTATCAGTAGCTTGGCTTGATTTAGGTTCACCGTGACTTGATGTGAGTTCAACTTGATTTGATTTTAGTATCAGTAGCTTGACTTGATATGGGTTCAAATTGATTTGATTTTACTATCAGTAGTTTGACTTGATCTAGACCCAATTTGAATTGATTGAAAAATCAGTAGCTTGACTTGATCTGGGTTCAACTTTACTTGATTTTAGTATCAGTAGCTTGACTTGATCTAGATTCAATTTGACTTGATTTAGAAATCACTAGCTTGGTTTGATCTAAGTAAAGCTGAACCTAGATCAAGTCAAGCTACTGATGCTAAAATCAAGTGAAGTTAAACCCAGATTAAGTTAAGCTACTGATACTAAAATCAAGTCAAGTTGAACCCAGATAA